ATCTATGTATTGTGATGAATTGTATGAGCCCCAATAAATTGATTAAAAAAAAAAAAAAGTTACATTCTCAGAAACCCACAGGAGCAGTTCTAACATGTCCTGTAGGGTCGCTACGAGTCAGCAACGACTCGATGGCAGTGAGACCTGGGATCAAACTGGAAACCAATTCAAAAGGCTAGCTAGGAACCTGAGGGGGCAGTGAGTTGATGCTCAGGGGAGGAACAGCCCTGAAACGAAGGGTGAGGAAAGGCACCTGTGCCAGTGAATCGTACGGGGAGGAAGGGTGGAGCTGGTCCATCTTCTACTGGGTACGCTGTTCTCAACAACCACAAAACTACATTACGTGGTAATGAATGGTAAGAAGGACCATTCTTGAAATACATATGAAACCACTTATTTGTTTAGTCCCTCCTGCATATTATTTATCTTAAGCATACAATAAAAATTAAATAGTGAACTACATTAGCTCAATTCCCTTAATCAAGGTATCAATCATCTACAGAAAAACCTGCATGATCCTTCCCCAACATCGACATCACATGAAACCACAAAAACAGAGATAGCACAACAGAAGTGATACACAGGGTATGTGAGAGATGACGGGCAAATGCAGAAATAAAATGTACCACCTCCCAGGCCAGCACACTGTCCCTGGGGTGCCATCACCCACCTGCTTCCCTGGCCAGACGCTTTCACCTGGCCAGGCTGATCTTCACACACTGGAGAAATGATGTCAAACTGTATGGGGGTGTCTGGGGCCACAAGGGAATCTAGAGAGAGGGCAGCCAAACTCGTGGACTCAGATCCTAAAGATCCCGAACTGCTGGTCCGAGCTGCCGGGGGCCGCGATTGCCTACGTGTAAAAGAAAACAAGAAGGCCCTGCATTTGTTCTCTGTTGGGCATCAAACAAACTATGAGACAGAAAACAATTTTATACAATAAACTGGTTTTAACAAACTTCATTAAAGACACACTCCAAATTCATAGCTACTTATTCAACAACAGGCCTCCTTCCTTCTTCCAATTATTAAATTAAACCTGAATCCCCTCACCCAGAGAGTCACGGGGAACACACTAAGGACATCTGGAACCCTCACGTGCCAGCTGTAGCCCGTACAGGTCCACTGACCAGTTAAAGATTCACTCGCCAGGCTGTTTGGGGCACTGTTCAGCACTAATCTAAGAAGGACTGCAACAACAAAGTGCTCGCTGACCCTTCCAATAGCCCTTCCAGATCTTTACATGGTGGCTGCTCACTCACCCTGCTGGCCGCAGGCTCTCGTGTCTCTGCTGGAAAGATGGGGAAGGGGTGACAGCTTCCAGGGCAGACTGATTCACTCGGGCAGCAGTTTCCTATTTTGAATAATAATTTTTAAAAAGGTACTAATATTAGTGAAGTATGAAGACCTAACGTTTAGATTAACTCTCTGGTTTGTCAAAATGTTTTCAAGTTACACAGTTCCTCATCCTTGTCTAGTATTGATACACATTTACTAAACTGAAGCCTGCTTGTCCTTCCTGAGAAACTGATTACTTTTTTCTATTTATGTAAGAAAATATTATTTTTTTAAGTTTACAACTCTCAGATTTTTTTACTTAAGCTTTGGTTACCACTGGTTTGGTCACTACCACACCCAGCACAGTGCCTGGTAATCAGTTAAACCAAAGAACCGACTCGGCCCACGCCAGTACTGAGGACCAAAAGATTTGTTGAGTAAAATTTAGATGAAGTAGGAAACAAATATGCAAGAATTTTATAACTATGCTGGTGATGTTTTCAGAATTCATTTCAGAATTCCACACCACATTTATGCTCAACATATTCATACATTGTCATTTATACAGTTAACAAATATTTTCAGACCAAATTTTAAAAGCTATGCATAAGAATGATATTTGACTGTTATATTTTAAAACACTGGTTAAATGAATACAATATTTAAGTTAAAAATATTCTAAACATATTTCTACGTATTATACTAACATAATGTAAAAAATAGACCAAATATCTTCTCAATACTTATACAAACAAAATAATTCTGGATAATTTGAAAATTACTGTCAAGGAAGTAGAAATTCTGAAAAGTGATAGAGAAGTGCTATAAGTGTGCATTATTCAAATCCAAGTGCTGTATTCCCTAGGCATTAACATCAGTCATCGCATTTGCATTTAAATTTTTGTTGTTGTTCCACAGTAACCTAACAAAAAGGAAAAGCTAGACTGGCAGGAGATCAAGCTACTGAAAATGAAAGGTTTATCTACAGCTAGTACTGATTTTCTGTAATGAAACTCTTAAGATTATAATAAAACGAAGATAAATTACTAATATTTTGGAGGTTGTAAGTTTGTCTCTTGTCTTGTAAGCTTTCTCCTGGACATCCAAATCAGGTGTCTTGGTTGACAACTAAAAGCTATTATGATAAAACAGAATTCTTTTCCAAGTAGTCTTCTCTTCCCTTGGGCTTATAAACCCCTCAGGACCAATAATGAGAGTAGCAAGACCAAGAGGGTAGGGGGAAGGTGGGGGGAGAAAGGGGGAACCGATCACAATGATCAACGTATAACCCCCCCCCCAAGAAGGATGAAGTGGGTGAAGGGAGACAGCAGTTGGTGTAAGACATGAAAATAACAATAATTTATAAATGATCAAGGGCTCATGAGGGAGGGAGGGGAAAAAATGAGGAGCTGTTACCAAGGTCTCAAATAGAAAATGTTTCGAAAATGATGATGGCAACATATGTACAAATGCTCTTGACACATGGATGGATGGATGGATGGATGGATGGATGGATGGATGGATGGATGGATGGATGGATGGATGGTAATAAGAGGTGTAAGAGCCCCCAATAAAAAGATTTTTTTTAAAAACAAACCAAAAACTTGAAAGAAAATAACTGATGCAGATGACTTCCATTAGTTGGTCACTGACTTTCTTATCTCTGCAATTTCTTTTCATCTTTCTCTGATTCATTTTTCCTTCTCTCTTCCCTTAATTATTCATACCCTGCTCAGGTCTCAGTTCATGCCAGACCTTCCCCTTTAGTCCCCCTCACCTGAACAGTTTAAGACTTAAAAAGGCAAGGTTTTCCAGAGAAAGGAGTCCTAATCTAACTCAGCTGAAATAATCGGCCTGCCTCCCTCAGCTTTGGAAGGCGTCCTGAGTTCACGGCAACAACCAAGGCCCAAGGCTTTGCACCATCCACTGCAGTGGAGGTTCACTTGACTCCTTCTGGAATTCTCCAGACCCGCAGGTTCTGCCCACACGTTTGGACTGTACTTACAGCTCTATCTATGCTACTACATACTTCTAGTTTAATACCCTTGTTCCTCAAAGTATAATCCGCATCACTAGGAGTACCTCAGGCCCTACCTAGGGCACTGTAACAAGGTCCCTAGCTGGTGTGTGTGCAGCACACACGTTTCAGTTTGTCCTTATGACCCCCAACAAGAAGCTTCAACGTGATTACACTACTAGTTTAATACACATTCCATTTCTGCCTCTCTGCCTTTGTTTCCAGGCTCTTAACTGGAGTAGCTTCTCTTTTCCTCCAAACACAGCTCAATCCGGCCTGGCCCAGCTCAGGTTTCCATCATCCGCACAGAGCTTGCTCTAAGACAAAGGCTCATACTGAGCTTACCCGTCTTAACTTAGGCCTTAGTCACTAGCGCCACTCACTTCAATTAGATACTCCTTTATGTGAAATGCTGGACGTTTTTGGTTTGCTTTCTTACACACTCGGCGCCTAGAGAGCAGATGTCATGGCTTATTGTAGGTTTGGATCCTTGTTCTCCAGGGTGCTCATCGACCTCAATAAATACTCATTGGTAGACTAATTTCAGTACCTTCGGAGATAATTTATTCTAGGAAAACCAGACACGTTCTATATACATGATATCCCTTCAGGGTCAATTTAGAAAGACTGCAGTTCTTGAGAAAGTATGACCATTAATAAAAGCCATGTGAGTCGTAGAATTAAGTCAATTTTGCTAGATCTGGATGCCACAAACAAAAATATTACCTCTGGATTTTCACTTAAATATATTTGCTTAGATATGTTGTTTATTGTACAGATCCACTGTAAGAGAAAATAAAGAAAAATGTGATTAATACTTCTTTCCTACACATTTTTATTTCCTCCAATACTCAGCTGAAGCTCAAGTTTTATTAAAAAGAACACTGGTTATTTTAAGAGGAAAATGCCTTCCCATATACACATGCATATATAAATGGATAGCATTTGAGAGTGTAAGATATTGATTTGTTTATTTACATTTTTTTATTTACACAAGGAAATAAAAATATAGAAAGAACATCAAACTAATTTGATAGTATGTACCAATCTTTCCCATCAAACAAGGCATTCTGGTTTATGATCTCCTAAGAAACATCAGTACAAAAAAGAATGAGCTATAGTCCAAGCGAATAAACTGCTATCAAAAGTTGATCAGTAATTAACATAGAAACCCGCACTTTGTGCATCTTGTGCCTCTCCCCAAGTCAGCTCACACTGAGTTAAACTGCTTTGTCTGGCGAGCCCTGTGGACACAGCAGGCATTTGCTGGTCAGCTTCAGACATCAAAAACAAGGCTCAGTACCAACTCTTTCCCACAAGATTATCTTTTACCAAAATGTTTACGATGCCAGGTAAACTAGCTCAAAATCAAACTACAGCATATTTTTAAGAAATGACTATTTCTCAGGACAGTTTTGAAGTGTCAGTTCTTACCTTCCATATTTGGTATATTAGAAGTAAAAATGGAGCCCAAAATAAAAGGGTTGTGAGGAAGAACAGAGACTCCCAAATTTTTGTTTTCCTGTCTTTCATTTCCCCACGGGTTTAGGCTGTAGTTGCTTCCTGGCATGCTACATCTGCTGCCGCCACTACACTCCTTACTGCAACAAGTACCACTCCTCAGAGGGCTAGTGAGAGACGGGAATAAATCAGCTGTCGTCGCATGACGCTAAAAGCCTGCCAGAAAGCACTAGTCACAAGGTCATTCTGAAGCTGAGTCCTGACAACAGCGGAGAGGTGAGTTCCCTCCAGCTGTAAAATTCTGTGAGAAACCTGAGAACACTGTCTTGACTAGATTTTCCCACAAATACATTCATATGGTTTACAATAAAATATTTTTAATACCAAAGACATTACCTCTTCGTGGTCCTTTTTACTCTCTGCTTGCAAAATTGAAGATCTGGGGGAGGGGAAAAGAAAGAACATGACCTTCCACTTTCTATAAAAACACGCTGAATACCGTGGGAGAACGTTTTCATGAAGTCTCCAAAACGCCACTGTTCTTGGGTGCTACAGGTGATTGTGACTCACGGTGAGCCCAGGTCAGAGCAGAACTTATAGGTCCCTATAAAACCAGCAGACCACCCCAGGCTTCCGCACTCCGATCTCAACAGCTCTGCCTCTGGCGTCTCCGTCGAGAGGCACCAACAAGTGAGCAGGTGTCAATCCTTAGGAGCCAGAGCGTGACACAGCTGACCGCAGCAGGACAACGCGTTGCACCTTTCTGACGCTTTTGATCTTATTTCAAATTTAAATCAGTGACCACAACAGGAAATACTAGCACTACTTCATTAGGAATGCAGTTTTAAATTCCAACACATGGTAATCACCGACGCAGATATTTAGCTTTTCTCCAGAAAAATTTCAAAACTAATGAAAAAAATAACTTTTACTAATTTGCACCATTCCAAGAATGGGAAAGCATATTAAACATTAGCACAAAAACTAAACATAATCAAAATGTTTAATACTTATAGGAACATAATTTAACAATGTCATCATTTTAGGTATTTCCAATACCTAACATGGTTTTTGACAAGGAAACTGGGATTCACTGGGCTTGCAGAAGGAATATAAAATTAGACCGCAGTTTTGAAACACAGGAAAAGAACAACTTTACATACCGAGTGCTCCTGAATATTGAGATGTCAAAAATCAAAGTCAATGTTTTAATTAAGTGGATAAACTTTACAGATAACCCAAACATTCACCATTAGGAAAATGATTAAACAGTGTGTATCTCTAAATGGATTATAATGTAGCTGTATGAAATGTTTTTAATAAGTGGGTGCAGATCCAAACTATAGACACAATGTTTGACCAATGATTTTTTTTAACCTACTTAGGTTGGGACCCTGGCCAAGGGCCATCAAACACTGGGGGATTGAATGCTACATCTGTGGGGCACCGGCAAGTGCTCCAAAGGCCCATGTCCAGAGTGAGAGCCGATGCAGAAACTCTCCCTCAAACTCACCTGTAATCTATGAACTTAGAACTGACAGAAGACTGCTATACCACGAGTACTGAACTGTCCATAGGCAGACAATCATTGAATTACTATACCAATGCCCCATATGCTGTAATAAGATATGTAGTATTCGGGCAAACCTGTGACTGACATCAGTGAATATTGTTTTCCCTGACAATCAACTCCCACTGTTTGTGTAAATAGCATCCACGAAAGTGTTTATCCTGTACAATTTGAATAATTCAGGTATTGCGATATGAAGTTACCCTACTTTGGCCCAATATCCCTCTTTCATCTGTGCTTTAAAAAATCAGTACCAGGGGCCAATCAATGACATCATGATTGGAAGCTCTTTATGCTCCAGGGAGATGAATGATAAGACTCTCTACCATAAATTAACAAGGTAGTCTCTAAAGGGAGCCAAAGGCAGATTTTTTTTAAAAAAAGATATAGATCAGGAATGGGAACTTAACTAGTTCTTACATCCTGGCCCTGCTCAATACTCGTCTTCAGGAAGGGAGCACAGATATGGGTGCTATAGCAAAGCGTGGGGAAGACACTGCTCAGATATCAGATAACATAGCGGCTGGGGTCTAAAAGGCCTGTTTCCAAACCAGCAGCCATCTAACTGAGATGTCAACTAAAAAGCACTCCAACATCAGTGACCAAAGGATTGCAAATTATATCTGAAGCTGAAGAAGGAAATAGTATCAGAGCCCAAATGGTGAGATTCTGATGTGCAGAAGGCTATGGATGACAGTGGGAGCTCATGATATATTTGTGAAGTCTATACAGGAACTAACCATCTGGTGATTTCCCTCTAACCATACTAGAGGGATGGGAATGAACTGCTTATAAACATAGTACACTGGAGAGAGGACTATAGGAGATCAAAAGGATAAACCTGACTCCAACTGTTAAAACCTTGTCAGTTGATTCCCCCCATACTTGTTGGACCTGGTCTGATTTTCAACATTTTCTGTTTGTTTGGTTTTTTTCTTCATATGAAACCCAAGTGTTTTTTTCCTCCTTACTCCTGGTTATATTCTTCTATGCTTTAAAAATAAATAAATTCTAGGGGATTCTGGGAAATAGTGGCATAAACAAAGCATCATTCCAACCCTTCCCCACATATACATCAAGAAATAGAACAATGAAAGTGTTTGGTTTTAAGGGACTCTGAATTTGGAAGCAAAGGAAACCAGTTGGGAACTACAGAGAGGCAAGAATCCACAAATGGTGGAGTCACACAGGTAGGAAAATCACTTCTACTGCCCACCGTGCCTCCCTGCCAAACTACTCGGGCTGCCAGCTGCTGTTAACGGGTTGTAGCCCCAGAAAAAGAGGCTGCTTCCCTAACTATCTCAACACCTGCCTATACAGACAAGACCCCAAGCTTCTGCCCTAAAATCAACGTGACAGGTCTCCCTGGGGGCCTGTATGGAGAACTAACTCTCCACCTGCCCCTGAGCATACACCACAGCTCAGGTCTCTGAAGCCAACAGCACAGGCCTTCCAGGGAGGTAGTTCGAGTCACTCTGCTTCCCCTTTCAGCCAGTGCTGAGGACTGAGAACTGAGGCCTCTGCAGGCTAGGCAGGCATCTTCAGTGGAGGCTATGCCCACAGCCAAGATATTCCAGGGAGGAATCTGAGAGCAACAAGGCAGACCTCCCTAGAGGCCTGTTTGGAGAGAAACGAGCCCTCCCCAACACAAACACTGTCACCTGTAAGCCTGCTGTGAATTGCTGCACAAGGACCCTGCAGTGGAATCTGCTCTTCACTCTACTTGCCTTCCTGCACATCCACTATCTGGACAAACCTCCCTGGGGGTCAGTTAGTTAGTCTGCCCCCACTTCCATGTGGTGCTGAGGATTGTGGACTGAGACTACGGCGTGCTAGCAAGGGGGCATGTTGCATGGAGGCTACCCTCAGCCAACATCCTAAGGAGTAGGATCTGATAGCAACAATACAGAACTCCTGAGGGTCTTCTCAGAGTGTGACTACTATTGCCAACTCAAACTATCAGCTGCTGGACCTCTAAGGACCCTTATTTTAGATTCCTACAGTTGAGAGAGGAGGTGGGCCACCTAAATGAAGACTGCTCCCCCAACCAGCACAGGACCCCTGGGGCTCTAAAACCAACACGAAAGACCTCCCAGCGGTCCTCCTGAGGAATGCCAGCCCCTTTCCCCTTCCTGAAATGGAAGTGTGCCTGTATTTCCCCTGATATTGGCAGCCTCCACAGAGCAGTGAAGAAAATCTTGTGCAAAATCAGAGAGCAACAGCTAGCCATGAAGGAAATGCTGGGTATGAGTTTTCTGATGAAGAGTCTGACTGCAGAACCAAAGAAAGGAAGGGAGTAATCCCCAAGGGGGAGGCATGACTAATCTGGTAGACAGGCTGATTAGTACACGATGTCTCGTCTGAGTGGTGGTGCCCACTGGTGGACTGGCAGACCACAGCTGTGTGTCTGGAAGAGAGTTAAAGTTTAAAAATAAGATCTGGAACTTTGAAATGCCAATTAAACAAGGGAGGGAAAGAAGTTATCACAAAGGGGAAAAGGAAATGGAAAGCAAAGAACAAAGGCTCAGTCTACCTAAGAACTTCCTGTAGTGAATAAACCAAAAGCCAAACTCTCTGCCATCGAGTCAATGCTGACTCACAGCGACCCACCGTGGGTTTCCAAGGCTGAACTGTTTACAGGTGGAGAAGGTCCAGTCCTTCTCCCAGGAGCTGCTGGTGCTGGTGGTTTGGAAATACTGACTGTGCAGAAAGCAGCCAAGGAACAAATTCATCCAATACTGGAGACAACTAAGAACATTAACATGCTTGAAAATTCTCAGCAACGTCTCAACAAAAAGTCACAAGACACACAAAGAACAGAGAGGCAATGGTCCATTCAAATAAACTTGACCAAGAGTGTGAGAAAGCACCTCTAGGGATGAGCAAATAATGAAAGGGGAAGAATACCACATTAGACATAATAAATGAACTAAGGGAAAACAGACCAAGAGCTAAACGAAGGAAAATAATGCAAAAATACAAACTGAGGAACTAAAAGATGAGATATTAGAACCGAAAGAGACAATAGCTGAAATGAGAAACAAGAAACAATTAAGCAGAAGAAAAACTCAGCAAATTAGAGGATAAGATTAAAAACAGATGCGTAAGAGCAGCAAGCTTCGAGACTCATGTGCATGTAGAAACTTGCATTGGTCTGTGTTTGCTGTGTATATTCTCAACAGCAGAGTAAAGAAAGCTTAGGAAAAATTAAATTCTAAATGTTACTTTTTGGATTTTTATTTAATATAAAGGTAACAGAAGTTTTTGAAATGGCACAATAAACATGGACTAATTAAATAATTTGATCAGAAACATTTGATTAACATTTTAAAGAAACACTATTTATTACCTACTATGTGCTAGGCATATTGCATAGATTAGATTTCTGCTCTTAATAACCTACAAGTAGAAATTATGACTACCCTACCTCCCTCCACCCCCATGCATATTACATGTAAGGGAATGAAGGTCAAGGGGTAAAGTAACTTACTTATCCCCTGACACACATTAAGTACACCAAATACCAAACTCACTGCCACTAAGTCCAGGCCAATTCATAGCGACCCTGCAAGATGGATAGAATTGCCCCTGTGGGTTTTAGAGACTGCCTCATTAAGGGAGCAGAAAGTGGCTGCTTTCAAACTGTTGACCCCCAACATATAACCACTATACCACCAGAACTCCAGAATTTGAATTTTCGGGCTCTTTCCACTAACGCATGCTACACTGCCCATATCATGTAGGGTTTTTTACACATGAAATCGGATGTCTTAACCAGATAACCAGGTCAGTGACCTTACTTTGTCGGTCTTAAAATATGAAGAAATCATTTACCCAAGTCAGAAAGGAAAATTCAACTCATTTCTACCAAATTAAAAAGTAAAAAATTATCTTAATATATAGTATGCTTAAACTTTTAAATTTTGAAAGGAATTTTCTTATTTTGGTAGTTTAAGATCTTACAGATTTTTTTCTGTATTACTATATATTACTAATAGTAGAAAAGAATACTAACTTTTTTCCATCAAAAGAGGTGATCTGAAAACAGTATCGCCTGTCTTCACAATCCACGGCCATCACTGAAGAGTTGTCTATGTCCATGGCCAGGCCACCTGCCACATCTCCTCGGGCCTGACTCATTAAGTTCCCACCTTGTGTGAAATAGAACTGTCTGTCCCAGGTCGATGACACCAAGCCTGTTTTACTAAATGAAACAAGCACATTTTCACGTTTTAATAACTGCACATCTGGCCTCTCATCAGCAGCCAGTCCAAAAAAAATCGAACAGACTACAAAAAGAGCAGCTTGGAAAAAATAACCAGGAAGAACATTGAAGTATCAGTTTTTCAGTCTCTAAAGTACATTCTTGTAGCTTGGCTTACTCATTTGTGAATACACTTTAAAAACAAGGCATGAGATTATCACACTTTAATTGTTATAATAATGTCCTATAAAATACAAGTTTACAGTTTAATTTCCAAGGGAATATATTCAAAAGCAAAGATTTTATTTTAAATTTAAAACCAGTTATAACTAACATGCTTGATGATATCAAGTAAAAACGGAAATTTGACTTGATGATGTAATTACAAATAGTTTCAAGTATGAGAAATGGTATTTAATTGCATTACCATCTTAATGACATGCAAACTATTCTTTCATAATCCTAAATTATTCAATAGGTATCTAAGTAGAATTTTACTTGCAAAAATAATCATGTATTTTGCTTCATCTGTCAAAAAGTTCACATAAATATTAACACCACTAAAAAGGCCCAATGTTTAGTGAAATCAAAATAATTTGGCAGACACTATCGAGTGCATATTACATTCCTTAGCTTCTATATAATATATAAAAATAGCGATCATTTTCTTACTTTCTAGCATTCAAGTACCCAGCCTTTCGGGTTAAGTTTCGATTAACAGGGAATTTGGTGGGATCTGGGTCAGGTATATACAACGGGTCACTAGCTACTTCCAAATCCTCAATGGTCTGCTGCATAGTCTCCACATCGCTGTCCATTTCCCTGCGAACACTAACACAAAACCGATTAGTTCCAACTGACCAGAAGGGAGACAGTAGTTCTCCTCGCCATCACTTTCGTATATGTATTTGTTTTATACCTATTTCCACAAAGAAGGAAGCAGTGGTACATGTGGCTAGAGCAAAAGGAACACATTTTATTATTTATTATTTTTTTAATCGTTTTCTTAAGGGCTCATACAACTCATCACAATCCATACATACATCAATTGTGTAAAGCACATTTGTACATTCATTGGCCTCATCATTCTCAAAACATTTGCTCTCCACTTAAGCCCCCGGCATCAGGTCCTCATTTTTTCCCCTCCCTCCCCACTCCCCCTTCCCTTATGAACCCTTGATAATTTATAAATTATTATTTTGTCATATCTTGCCCTGTCCGACGTCTCCCTTCACCCACTTTGTTGTCCGTCCCCCAGGGAGGAGGTCACATGTAGATCCTTGTAATCAGTTCCCCCTTTCCAACCCACCCTCCCTCTATGCTCCCAGTATCACCTCACACCACTGGTCCTGAAGGGATCATCCGCCCTGGATTCCAGGTACACATTTTGAAATAGCTTCACATTTTATTTGAATTTAAATATTCTGAAAACAATTCCAAGTTCAATAACTAATGGTGGACTTTGAATTTTCAAATTGATCTCTTTTTTGCACCTTTAGAAGAGCAGTCATGCTAATCTCCATCCATGTTTCAGACTAACCACTTCATGCTCAGACTTTTGAGCCTGATTACAACTGCTTTGTCCTCTCTCTATTCGCTATACCCTGGTGGTGCAGTGGTTACACGCTGGGCTGCGAGCTGCAAGATAGGCAGTTCAAAACCAGCAGCAGCTCTGGAGGAGAAAGACAGGGCTTTCTACTTCCATAAATAGTATCTCAGAAACTCACCGGGCAGTCCTACCCTACCTTAGAGTGCCACTATGAATCAGTATTGACTCTGGTAGTGTCTTCTCACTAACTGGTCACAACTTGGAGAGCAAGGTACACTTAGCAATTCCTCACCAGCACCCACAGTATTTATTGTTAAAATAAATTCACTTGTGGAAAAATTGCTATTATGCGCCTTTCAGGTTTAGGCATGAAACATAATTTCTGATCAATAAAATAAACATCAGAATTGACACTGTTGTGAAATGCAAGGTTTGTGTTCTGTGGAAAAGTTGTTGAAAAATCTGAAAGCATCCATGAAAGCATTCAAGAAACATTCTATGGCAGGAAAAATAGTCCCTCGGGAAACTAAAGGGTAAAACATTTTTTAGATCATAGCATTTAGCTGTTAATTTGCACGTAAGTTAATCTTAAATTTTAAGAAAGAAAACACTTACTTCTGTACACTTGTTCCAATATTAGTTAAAAAGTCTTCTAGCTGTTCATTGAGATTTTCAGAGCCCATCTTAAAGAAACTTATCTGGGGCAGGAGGAGAGCAGAGTAAACAACACAAACACAAAGACAAAAATGCAAAAAGTCATTCACATAAACAATCTCTAAGGTACACTACAGTTAAGTTGAAGAACCGAAGGATTTATTTAAAAATGTGTCATTACAATGACTTCTACTGGTCAGGGCACCACTGAGGGAGCGAGATTTCACTGTCACTGAGTCAGAAGTAACTCATTATGAGAGAGCTGGGTTTTTGTTTGGTATATCTTGTTATATCTTTTGAATGGAGTAATACATGCATGATACTTTCTTAACTGGTGAATAAATTTTTAAGTATTTCAAAGTAAATCATATACATAAACTGTTTCATGTTTACTACAAAGCTAAATAGGTTCTATATCTAAGGAATAATGTCTGTATCTCCCTACATATCTGAAGGAATATTTAACTTTACTTCAATTATTAAAGGATTGATATATTATTGTCTTCTATTACCCAAACTTTTATTTCCTAGCCTCCTTCCTGTGGTGTGTCCCTCGGGGCATTTTGGAATTGACCTCTGAGTTTTACTCAGGGACTATGTAAAGATCACCGGCAGACCCAAACTTGTTCATGCTCCTTCAAATTTAGTATGAAGCGAGAGTGAATAAGTGCCACCTATGGGTGCAACTCTCAGATTGTATTTAGCTATCTGCTCCCTGTCCCCATTTGCGATGGGCAACGTCTAAACACAAGGTTAAGTGGTTTCAATTGTCCTCAAATAGTTGAAATACTCATTTTCAATGACAACCGTTCTCCTCGACTTCCTTAAAACAGTAATTGGATATCATTTTTCAGATCCCTGTTTAAAGCACAGATACAAATGAGCACTGTATACAAATAGCAAACTTGGCTGAAGGTTCTTAGGCCAGCTGTCATCTGAATTTAGTTCTCACCTGCGCTTGCATGTACCCAAGTAGAGGCTCCAGCAATGCTATCTTCTTCTTGTACTGAAGAGTGTTTAATGCACAAAAATAATGCATCATGGTCTGGTGTTGCTTTTTTCTGGAAGTGTACACATCTTCAGTTAATTCGTATTTCATCTTTTGGACAAAAAGATGAAAAAATCTATTATTTCAATGGCTTTGGGGAAGAGATATCGAAGAAAAAGGTCAGTCACCAAGAACTGTGCAAAACCTTAACCTTTTTTGCTACATCAGAACCCCTTCAATACACGGATAAGATGCTCCTCCTGTCCAAGCAGTGCAGACCCAGTCCTCAGTGTCTGTCTGTGTAAGTATAGGTACGTCTGAACAAGCAAGCAACACGTCCTGGTAGCAGAGTATGCTCAGCAACGGGCTGCTGACTGCTCAGTCCGAGCCCGCCGGATAATGAGACGGGGGTAAATATGTCGTCTCAGAAACACCAAGGAACAGCTCTACCCCATGCTGTACGGCTGCTGAGTGACAATCCACACAACGGCAGTGGATTGTACTGTAGTCCAAGAGCAGGCCCAGAGTTTTTTCCACGATTTAAAATGCTGCACATGCAGCAAGTGAAGGTGACTGTGATGTTGTTGTGAATAGCAGTTGATTCAACCAGAAGGGCACATTTACATAACATTAAAGGGCAAGTTCTACTTGTCTGAAGTTGGACTTTTAGAACCTGGGGACTTTCTATTATTACCATCAACAAACCCACTGAAAAATGTAAATTAGAAGCAAAACGCAAATTTTTACACACAACTAAGAATGGTACAATAACCAAACTATGCATGGCAGAGAAAACTACTATAGGAAAAGGTAGAGGGCCATTTGGTACCAGCTCAGCGATCAGTCTTTGACCTTCATCAGTTAAAGCACCTCATACTACCCTCTCCCTCTGCCTCTCTCCCTACCACACTCTCTTACACTTACCTTCTTGTACCCACGATTAACATATGTGTGCCCAGGGTTCATTTATTCACATGGCAAAGTTATCGTGTCCCTAGTATGGAAAATAAAGATAGCACCTTCCTGCTTTCCCTTTACATGTGAATATCCATGTACATGCTTTACTGTGTAGTGTGCTTCTACATATGTGCGTGTGTATAAATGCTGAAATTGTACAAGGGATTTTTCCACAAAACCTGATCCTCTACTGCTTCCAAGTTCTCATAATTATCGCACAGCACTCATCAGTTAAAAAATATATCTATTATCTCATTTTTCATTCCTTCTCCCACTCTAAGGTTTTGTCAATTCTACTCAAACACTATCTTTAAAAACATTCCTGCCTTTCTACTTCCAGCAACCACCTTAGCTTGGCCCACAGGTTTCCAAACTTATTTGGCCTACCTCACCTTTTCAGAAAAAAATTACTCAGTGCCTCTGGCAATTCGAACTTTTGTACTCCAGCCCACAATCCAGGGTAAAGTGTAGGTATCTGCTTTGGCAGCACCCCACCCCCCACCCTCCTTGGAGTCTATGGCAGTGAGTTTGTTTGGATTTTTCTAGAATCTCCCAGGGGGCTACGTCTCACTGGCTTAGACCGCATGTGACTTTGCAAACTATTCCAATAGTTTGGACTGAATACCTTCTACTCTGTGCCCTTCACATTTCCATTTCTGGGACTTTGTTTTTTTGTTGTTGTTGTTGTTGTTCTTTACACAATTGTTTTGTGCCTCCTTAGAATCTTTTGAAGTCTGCCCACTCTCTCTAAAATCAATTTCAGTCAGTAACATAGTCATATAGCCTCAAACTACTTTGTTCTGGTCATCCCCTCCATAGCTTCCCAAATACACCTGTGCTCCCGACACTCTGAAGTGATTATCCTTCCACCATTATAATATTGCCAGTACTGAAAACTTCACACACTTTTGATTATGAATTAGGTGCGGGTTTCAGATCATTATTTTTGTATTCAACAATTTAACAAACGCCCTAATACCTTACTTACCCTTTCTCCCTACTTTTCCATCCCCTCAGTTTTGAATTAGAGAAAGCAAATTATCTTCTCCTTGAATGTTGGAGTTAAATAACATGTATAGAAATTTTGTAGCATATATGTAGCATATTGCTTTTATCTGTTAAAAAATATAATGTATTCTTCCTATTTAAAAAAAAACTCCCTATAAATCATAAACTTTCATGCCTTATCTCATTTCATCTTTATAATCCCTGATGGTTTCTAACAGGGAAATAGCTTGAAACTAACGTAGTAGCTGTGTGACTTCATGGAAAGAGCTGGCAGCGGTGCAACCTATCCACAGGCAGTCCGGCTCCAGAGCCGGTGGCCTTAACCATGATGCTCCTGGGACTCTACCACGAGCTTCGGCACATACAGTTTTTCTTCTAGGAAGACTCTGCCCCATCCCAATCTGGTGACTTCCACTCTTCCTTCCTGATGCCCTGCAAATGTCACCTCCACAAACGTAGCCTTTTTCCCAGTTCACCAATAAAAGCGAACTGCTACCCTTCTTTACCCTGCACTCCGTAAAGACAGCTATTACTGCACCTAACTCACACATAATCCCTGCCTTCTCTTCAGCCAAGCACCTGGCACTGGCCAAGCACACGCCTGCCTGCACAGGAAGCCTTCAATCAGGTTTGTTCCTTCCCCGTGGCACAGAACACGCTGCTTTACAGATTGAAAACTAAGTTTTTAATGCAATAAAATTGGTGAAAAGCTTTTTAAAAAGAGACTGAAACAGTCAGGGGCATTGAAAATGTTCCAAATTTTATACCTAGGACTTTTACCTCCTCTCTGAGGCAAAGCGACAAAGTAATGCAGATTTTAAAATGTATGGATCTGAACCATTAGATGATCAGTGAACTAAAATCAGAAATGGAAAGAGGTCATTTGGAAAACAAGCTTGTTTAAAAAAGATACATTGCAACTCAGTCTAAAATACTCGTGACCTCCCAGACTGAGAGGACAGACCTCTGGCTCTGAAATCTGTGTAGCATCAATCCTTTCTTGTGTCACAGTAGCTAGTGCAGAGTAAGCCCTGCCCATGCATAGAGCCCCGCAAGAGGAGGGCCTGGCCAGCAGATGCAACCACAGCTGCAGACAAGGCCGGCACAGAGCTGCCCTTACTCACAGACACCCAGTCAAACCTTGGCTCTGGATCTAGAGAGATGATTATAAGGAATACCCAGGTGAACTCCTTATTCTGTTCTTTGATCTTTACTTGAAGACATTTCTCCTCAAAGACACAGCAGTAGTTCTAGACCTGACTATGTGAACAAACATCAAAAACATACATTCTCTGTAAATGAGGAAGGCTTCCTAACAAAATTTCATTGAATTATGTATGTAACAACTTAGCTTTATGGTTACTGTATCTCCAAAGACATTTCTTCATACATATGTGAGAAAATAAAACCAGTGTACATGCCTTATCAAAATACAAAGAAAAAGAGGAAATGTCAAGAGTTGACATCAATTACGCATTCTAATAGTTATGCTTACATCTATTAATTATAGCCACAGAAAAATGTTATTTCAAGAAACCAAGAATTATCTATTTATTTATATTCCACTGGCTCTCAGAAAGGCTTTACACAGCTAGAAGGAAAGAATACACTAAGAGTGATCTGCCAAAGGCACTACAAGTTACTATTTTTAAGGAGCACACGCAGCACCACCTAGGAAAGAGGCCCTCACTGTAGTACTGAAGGAGTAAATACGAATCACACCTTGTCATTTTCTCTTTTTTTGGACAATCGGCTGTATCTGTTAATCGCAGCATCATGATCTGGAAAAGAGAACTGACGGTTAAAAACAAGCTTTTGTGAAGTTTAAAAGCCTTCAACAGTCTTTACATTTCTACTCCGTTTCTGAAAAGGGAGTAAAACAGGCTGAGAACTTCCTCCTTCACGATCACTCCATTCACATGTTCTCCAGAGCCAGGTTTCCCCTGCATTTAGCTGTATTTATCAACCGAAAGGTATAAAAATGAAAAACACGTTGATACAGGGAAATTATAAACATTAAAAGTATTTTCTTATTTTTTTAATTTAAAGTTTTTAACAAAGTAATAGCAAAAGCTCATTAAAGAAAATTTCAAGTATACAGAAAAATAAAGAATGGGAGACAAATTGCACCACTTTCTTGGATGTTAAAAAGATAGTAAGCCACAAGACTGATTTAACTTCCTTTTAAATTTTCTTGTAACGCAAGCAGTTCAATTTAAGTAACAATACTGATTTAAGTACATTCATTCTTCTCTATTAGTAAACTAACCAATATTTACATCGATAAATACATTTTTATAAGAAATAAGTGTGCCAAAAACAAACAAAATAAAGAAGTGTGCCAAGTATTCAGAGCTTACCATTACTAGCAATTTGAAACACTTCCTTTAATGTCAGTATTTCTGAAAGAGTGAGAAAAATAATTTTAGTGTACCATACTTATGAAATATTCATCTTAAATTGTTTAGAAAGTTACAGCTTAAGCTATAATCAAAACCCCAAATTAATATTCCATACATCCAAGGTGGAATTTATTGTTAGTATTCTCCAAAGTAGTCAACAGAATATTACCATTAATACCTGCAACACCACAAAATGTATTTGCCATCAACTGGGAGTGTAACACAACAACAAATACAACAAATCTATTATAACTGCTAGGATATGCAACTACTGGTGTCGGGATCCAACAAATTAATTAATTTTCATATATAACTCAATAAGTTAAAAAACTGTATTAGGAAGGAAGAAAAAGAAACAAGAACACTTTGTTAATACGGCTATGAATCTATTTCTTGACCTTGGAAATGGCCACTCCTGAAACTCACTGTCCTCCTGCAAACTCTCCCTCAAAATGACTTGTGCATTGTTAACATTCACTTCATAGTCTTGACGATGACCCCTCTCTGATCTCCTCTCTCTAAGCCCCAAGCCACACCACACTCATTCTCTAATGTATAAATAGCACAGGGCCCCATTTATATGTGCACCCATTGCCCTCTTGGGGCTTTTTCAAAGGAAAAATCATCTTTCTCATATCAGTATTCCTCATATCTAGTTTGACACCTAGCCAGTGTTCCTAGAAATGTTTGGTGCCTGATGAAAGTTAAGGGGCTGGAAGCTGTAGTCAGAAAGGAGTGGGGAAGAGTAACACACACGTGTAAGGCCTGATGTCCGAATAGCTGATGAAAGTAAACGTAAGTTTGACTTCAATACCTTTCAGATCTCTTTCTTTAAACTGAGTAATGGGGAACATCATGGCATCAGCAAGCTGAGTTGAAAGTACAGCATGACAAGAGCTGAGCTAGTAAGAAAAGGCCAAAAAGGTCAAGTAACTAACTACATACAGAAACATTAAACCGCTGTTATGCACATTAATAAAACTCAGTAAATTAAGATACATTTTTACATAAAAGTACACTAAAATTATCTGATATAGTACAAAGTATTTTATAATTTTAAAAAATCCACTTCTTCATGTATTGTTTTCTTAACATTGATCTACATAGGACAATATTTTCCTACTATATTATTAAAATATTTCCAAAAATTACCTTTCCAATTAAAGGGAACTCAGAAAAGATGGAATAACTCAAGTTAGAATGAGAGCTCTTGCTTCAATAGTACAAAACAGTATGACGCTTCCCGTGCAGCCTTCAGCACGTTTTACTTCTGGTGACTGCCTTGTTCTCATAGCTACTTTGGGAATTGAGGGCTGATTAAAGTGAAAGGAATAATAAGGGCCGAAGGTAAGATGTTGCCTCATGGGAAAAGAAAGGAACTATGAAGTGGGAAGCCGTAGCTCACAGCCTCAAAGTTCTCTCCGTCCTGAATCAAGAAACATCATAAAAAGATGGAATGTCCCTGGGCTAAGTAGAGACAGCATACCTACAAGCATGTTCCTGAAAAATAGTTTGTTTTCATCGAACAAGTAAAGTTTTGCTTTTACGACAGCCATCAGGATATAGAAATAAGGTCTTAATTTAATACTTTTTTACAATGGAACTTTACTTATAAAATCACAGTAATAAATGTTCCCAATAAAAGCTAAAGGACCTGAGTGATTTAACAACAAGACCACTACTTCAAGCCAAATAAAATGAACACTTACCTCATCGATAACTTTTGAAAACTGTTGCAAAGTGGAGCTCATGACTTCATCATCACCCCCCAGTGGAAAACGCTGTCAAGTGAGCAGGAAAGATACGGTTAACGTCCAATGCGGTTGTGCTTTTCGAGAATGAGACACACTACGGTATAATTTACATTTTTAAATAACTTCAGAATATTTTTAAAACTTTTGCTGAATAGTTTAATAAGTAGTACAATCACTGCATTATTAAACATTAAAATATTTGCTGAATAACCAATTAACATTGTATACTGACATGCACACAATCCTGGGAATTAAAAGATTTAATGTTCAGCTCCAGTTCCTCCAATAATCAGCTACATAATCTTGCACAGCCTTAAATTCTCCATTAGCAAAAGATGAGAGCAAATCAGACAATGTCTGTCTCTAAAATTAAACTATTTCTTTTCTTTTTTTTTCCTTAAACTATTTCTTGATATAAGTGTGCTGGTGAAATTTCAATGGTATTATCAAAATTACCCTCAAATCAAAATCCAGGAGGGCATAGGGATTCCTGATAAAGAAATCCTCTGTGCACTGCATATTTTTAAATAGGCTTTTAAACTTTCATACACATTACCTGTTTTTCATATTCTTTTAGAAGTTTTGAAGTCAGGTGTGTTGCTGCACTTAGCTCATTCTACAGAGAAGAGATTGGCAATCAATTTAAGCTGAAGATGTCAGTTGACTCTTGATGACCCCGTGAACGGTGCTCCCTAGTTTCCAGGATGAGCTTTCCAGAAACAGATCACCAGGCCTTTCTTTCTAGATGCCTCTCAATGGACTCACACCTCCAACTTTTCTGTTGGGAGATGAGTACCACCAGGGTCTCCAGAAGATGCCAAGGTCATTCTTATTTGTTATCACTTAACGTATATACCGTTCACATGCTTCACACCCCTCAGTGAACACGGGGAAGGGGAGAGCCCGGAAAGCACGAATGGGAAACTCAAACCAGGGGAATTGCTTGAGAACTGCTTTGTTCCCAGCCTTTTTTGGTTTTCTTCTTTTTCTTCTTTTTGGGGGTGGTGGTGGTGTTTGAGGCTAATAAAATCTAAGCATTAAATAAAGTATTTTTAAAGCCAGAAATAACTGTATGTAACTTGAACAAAATGATAAGATTCTACAAGAATAACTAGCTATCCCTTTCTCTGGAAGATGATCCTAGACCATAAGCATTTAATAAAATACAAACAAAATGTGATCAATCTACTCTCATCACATAACATTGCCATATTTAAACTTTTTAAAGCACCCCTCCCCACCCCTTGGGATAGTTATAAGAAAAGTTACACTTTTTTACATATAATTTATCTCTTATCACAAACCTAATCTTGAGAGACGAAGCAGAGGGGAGAAAAAAATAAATGCTCATAGCATCAAAAAAAAAAAATTATAGCATCCTTTAAGTACCTAATGAAAATGTGAATCTATAGCACTTAAACAATACTCGTGTGATTAAATTATGGAATGATATATTACCTCCCATTAAAAAATAAAATATAAGTGAATAAATAACACTAAAAAAATAAGTGTGAATCTAGAAAGAAGAGAAAATAAGGAGGGGGAAAAATGAAGCTTATATACTTAATTAATCCCAAAGAAAATACATCACGGAGCTCAGGTTGCTCTTAAGGCTTATAATTAGGTTGTGTAAACACAGCCTCAAATCTCAAACCTGCTCAACAAAAAAATCAAATCAGAACCTCCTCTAATCCATAAGCTAAAAAGCTGCTCCCTCCTCCAAAGCTACAACGTCTAATTTTTATTACCCTGTTCTAACTAGAGAGTAGCAGACTGCTTTCAAATCCTCTACTCAAGGAGGGAAAGTGCCTTGGCAGGGCTTAAAACCATGGGAAGGGCAACAAGATCAATATTCAGGTGAATCTTAAGCAGAGCGATCACAAACAGTGTGTTTCAATGAGAATGCCCTTACTTATTGTACCACTAAATTGCTATCACTTTTGTAATGCTACAAACTATACACTGGAGATAGAAATAAGAGCTCTGCGTAACAAAATGCTTAATATTCACTCACCCATTCAATAAATATTTATTAACCAGGAGCCCAGCCTACGGATAGGCACCAGCCAACAAGACAGATTCTGTCTCTGTCAGGGAACTTAAAATAATTTTTTTAAGCATTAAGTCTTTAAATTTTTACCTGTGCATCATAAATCCGATGCATGGCTTGATACAGTTGGTTCATATAGTTGGAAATAGCTGCAGCATCTTCTTCAAACACACCCAATAAAGACCTTGTCTGGATAAATTAAAAGCAATACGTTTATCTTAGTCATTATACATGAAAGCAGAAAAACAAAACCTGTTTTTCCTAAAGCAAAAATCCTAGGATTTTAGAGTTTGAGTAAGTCTGCATTTTCATCTATTTTCTTTTTTTATTGTTGACTGTTTTTGTTGTTGCTTTGTAATTTAAGAGACTCCATGCGTTACAGAGTAAAAACTCCCTCAAGAAGGTTTCCATGGCTGTAATCTTTCTGGAAAGAAACCCTGGTGGCACAGTCGTTAAGCACTCAACTGCTCATACAAAGGCCAATGGTCTGAACCCAGCAGCCACTCTGAGGTGGCAATCCCAGCAGAATGAGGTGGCAATCTGTTCCCATAACATGACTACCTGGGAAACCCTGTGGGGCAGCTCTCTACTACATTGTCCCCATCAGTCAGAATCAACTTGACGGTAGTGAGTCTGGGTTGTTTGGATGATCTTTTCAGAAGCGGAGAGTCAAACCTGTTTTCTTCTGCAGTGCTGCTGGGAGGGTCTGAGCCGCCAATCTTTTTGGTAACCAGTTGAGGGCAAAAGTTTTATGTCACCTTGGGACTTTTTTTTTTATAAATAGTTAATACCCAGAAGTCAGTGTTCTTTGCGCTTAGTTTCACTTCATTAAAACTGAGGTATTTCCCAACTACGTCATAAACATGTTAGAAGGAACAATAGAAGTATATTTTTATGAGCTAAAAATTACATAATTAAACTAAGAACAAATCAACAAAAAAATTCTACAGATTTAACCATATATAGTATGTAAATGTTTTACTTCAGAATAACTTATTAATATTGGGCATGATACTACCTTTATATAGCAAACCTGTTTCACTCTTTTAGGCTAAGAAGCACCTTCCAAATACTTAATCATAATACAACCTTTAATATTAATGCCTAATTTCTTTCCGTGGAATTACCCATGGGGGGGCAAGGAACAAAATTAAGTGGCAAATTCTTCTAAGAATGATCCCACTACAGGAGGAAAGTCAAAGGAAATAAAGGAAAGAGCTGGAGGCAAAGGGCATTTATAGAGGTCTAGATAAAGACATGTACATATGAAAATATACTTACATATGAGGATGGGGAAATCTATGTGCATATATTTATAGGTTTAGTATTAAGGTAGCAGGACATTGGGCCTCCACTCAAGTACTCCCTCAATGTGAGAATACTTTCTTCTATTAAATTGGCATTCTATGATGCTCACCTTCTCGGCACAACCGCTGAAGACAAAGCAGGTGCATAAGCAAATGTGGTGAAGAAAGCTGATGGTGCC